GTATGTCTGTGTGTGTCTGTGTGCTTATACATGGTTTTTCCGAAGATGTGTAACAAAACATGCTGGCATTAATTTCATAGCGCTACAGGTGAAAACAGTTTGGTTGAGTGGTTAGGAGAGTGTTTTCCACACTTTTGATCCCAGGTTCGAATCCCATGATGTCTTTTTTTTTTTCATTATCTTTTAATTAATTGTCCATACTAAACTTCTTACTACATCTTATTACTGGTCAAGCCATTTAGGCATCAGCAGTGCACTGAATACATTTTTTTCATGGGGACAATATGCGTGGGAAATTTATACAGAGGAGATTTATGATGTGGCCAGAGGTATGCACTCTCAGAGTGCCCTCTAATTTTACTACAGTTATTATTTTTCTCTCTGAAGTCATTTGGCCATGGGTATTACCACACACAGCAACCATGTCTCCTGGAAGCCTGGAACTGGTTTTTCCCATCTAAGACCATGTTTTATTCGACCTAGTTTTGTAAATACACATTAAAAATCACACTATACTCACTGTTTATTAATTTTAATTTATATTTCTTGGTGAAAATGTTTATCCCTGAATGCAATTATATAATACAACCTGTTATTTTAATATAAAGCACTGTAAATAAGCAAGTATCAGACTGTAAAAAACCTACTCAAAATTCTTTAAATGGTGTGAGCCTGGAATTACAATACTGAGTTGTTAAATCCTATTCATAGTTTACTTGAGGCCCATACCTAGCTATTGAACTTGAGGCCCATGGGCTCTGGTCTTTTCTTGAATTCAGGTCATTTACCTGCATTCGGCATCTTAATCCGTCTCAGGAATGCTGGAGTAATCCTTCTTTTGCCAACTCCAATTGTTTTACTAATTCACCTTTCGCTATTGCACTCTTATCACTCCTATATTATTTCGCCCTTAGTTACACTTGCTATGAATGAAATGTATGTTAAGCAATTAAACTACTTGAATAAGTTGTTTTTTGTAAAAATCTACTTTCATTGTCAAATCTCAATAATGATTAAAACTGATTAAATACCTGTCGTAAGTTCAGAGGTCGGATATTATACATTTTTATTCTTTAATGACATTATTATTGATAACAACGTTAATATGAATGAAAATTAATTCATTTGGAAACTATAAAATAGTTTGATATTATAAGTTGCTTATTATTTTTTTACATGTGAAGAGCCACATGATGGGTGGGCCCAGCGGTGAGGCTAGACGGGGAGAAAAACCACAATTCGTTGGGTAGAAAAAAAATGTATATGTATTTTCTACATATTAGTAAGAACCAAAATCAATTAAATAAGCCTTTAAAACCCCTAAATTATCATATTTTTCTCCCTATGGAACACCTTCAAGAGATTTTAAGTGTGCACCCGACCATGCCCACTTTTTCGTCCTCCCCCCCCCCCACCCCCCCAGGGTCCCCCATCGGGCAAATCCTGGTGCCACCACTGAGCCACATTGGACTTGATCAAGACTAACTTTGATGTACATTATTCTGCCCCGCAGGGTGCATAAGAGCCGTCGCAGCATTGGAATGGTCTTCTTACCAACTTTCCAGATAAATCCTTGAAGCTTAGTCTCCAGATATTGATCAATAAATGCAGCAGTTAGAGGTTGGAACTAAGTCCACTTGTATGAATAGATGACTTCTCATTCTGCAAAACATGAACGATCACAGATTAAGAGTTTTGCAGAGAGACGTGAATGAATTAACCTGCTGAAGTGGTGCTAACTCATTGACACTCAACTCCTTATAGCAAAGTATAGTGGTCCTCCACTCTAGACAACCATCAACAGGAGAAGGAAGAGTGTACTTTGGCTTTATCAGGTCTGTGTTCGTACATGCTGATAAAAGTTGGCGCAAAAATCTCACTTATAAACTAAAATCATATGAGTACCGAGAGCAGAATATTTTAGGTGACAAACATGTCTGATAATGATGCTCTACATATTTTAAATCAAATGCCATCAAAAGAAAATTGCACATTCTCCACTACACTCTCTCTAAGTCAGTATATACTAACGACCTGATTTCAATAAACATAACTAATTAAACTTATATCTATGTTCAACCTTTTCATATTTCCAAGTAATTTGATTTTTTAAGTACCGGTATAAGTCTCACTTTTACAAACGATTTAATTTTAACGATTTATTGACAATTATTCTGTTTTGAATTGATGTTCCATGCTCGCATTTATTAATATTTCGAATGAATTTTTGCTTATTATGATGTAATTTACAAACAATTGAACTGCCGTTTATGAGTTGTAACATTTGATTGACAAGAACCATATTATATATAAATATATAGTAATATACTTGTAAATTCTACTGGCATTGGTATTAAAGCTCAAAGGGTTTTGCAACTAATGTTCTTTTTGAGCAATTACCATAAGTATCTTCGCAAAAGTTGTCACATTTGTTATTGGATTTTCGACAAACATCTTTTTAAAAATCGTATAAATACAGAAAGATTAGTCAGTGCTTAATAAGTTGGAATCTAATTCGATGACTTTTTTAATGAACAGTCATCAAAAATATATTATTGATCCCAACTTTCATTTTTCTAATATAAATTCAAACTTGAGATACCTTCTTTCATTATGTTCTCATTAGAATATATGTTATTATGGTATGGTTATTATTGAATGTTGTGTGTATATCTTTATTTTCATATGTTTTGTTATTTATATTTGTCATCATTGTCTATGAACCATTTACAAAGGTTGTGAGAACAAAATTTAATTTCCAGTTAGATGGTATGTGAAACAGTAGGTATCAAGACGAAAACTAAACAAACACCACAAAAGTGAAAGTGAAAACAAACTCAAAAATATGTAAAATTTCCCAGCATATAGGCTTAGAGATAGTAGCAACCAGAACTTCAATCCAAAAAAAACTTTCAAACAGTAATATGGAATGGTAAACATGCACTCAAATATTTAAACCTCTTTTTGGGGTGATCATGGATCCCCAAATATATTTACCAGAGCATAATTTGTCAACTGGATTCCTCATAAATTTATATAAATTGTGTTTCCCCAAGGAACCATCATGGGAAACCCTTTCTGCAAATGGTAGGGCTACCTAAATACCATGTTCAATTGAAAATTGTCAGTGGTGGATCCAGGAATTAAAAACAGAGAGGTTCAGGGAGGAAATTTTAATTTTATTTTTATTTGGAGGGGCTCCTCGGCAACACCCCCCCCCCCTTCTCCATTGGAACCACCACGTCTCTGACAGGAAATAGCACTTTCAAACTCAAATTTTAATGAAATGTTGTTTTTCTCGTCTATTTTTAAAAATTAGGGAGCCCGGGCCAGCTGCCTCTTAACAGTAGTTATTCTTTAGTGTTCAAATATAATTATTTTTAATGTTTAAAATATACTTTTTGTTTTATATTGTAGTTTCTCATTGCAAGATTCAAGTCATTGTGGGAGTGATGTACTGAAAATTGGGGTTTTACTCGGGAAAAGACAAGTATTTTAGAAAGCAAGTTCTAACTCTACACTGAAGGAGGGATGTAGGTGATCGCAAAATGAAAGAGCCTCCAATGCAGTGACGATGCTATATTTGTTCATGGGATTGGGACCACATAAATTCCTTTACATCCTGAGTTCTTAAATATACAAGGAAAGTTTATTGAGTGTTGATGGCTTATGTTTGCTTTGGTGTCATATTTTGTGATGAATAGTCAGTAAACACTGGAACAGTGAGGCAAACTTCTAAGAACACATTTGGTCAGTTGGTTTTTGTTGACATATTGATAGTAATGTCCCTTCTCAAATAGAAGCGTGTGCCTAGTGTGAGAGGTCAAGAGTTGCCAGGTAACACCTTTGCTTTACTAATAGGCTCAGTAAATTTGACAAAAAATGTTGACAGAAAAAGTTTGGCAAGAGGGAGAGGAACGGATATGATATCACGGTTTGCCTTTATTAAGATGTAGGATTGTTGGGACAGTATATTTGCCCGGAAGAGCTGAACAATTTCTGAGTTATCAAAACCCCACATGAGCCTCCGTATCTGCTATTAATTGATTCAATACTTATCCTTTGCAATGAACATCATCAGGAGTGAACAAATTTGTCAATGCTGGGTGACGATAAATTAGAATAGAGAAGCTAACTAACCAATCAAACACAATATTTAAATTAACATATTTTAATTATTTTTAGCAAGTGGATATGTCCAATGGACCTACAGAGTAAAAAACAATAATGGAACAAAGGACTAGTATTAGCAAAATTCAACCAACATGAGGTGTAGATAATTAATTAGACAGTGCTGTATTGTGTTTTTATATCTTGTATTGTAAGAAAATGTTTAGAGTATTAAACAAACTTTGCATCCGCTAATGTCATCATGTTTTTGGTTGGTTGACTAATTAAAGTTATATAAACTTTAATGGAACAAAGGACTAGTATTAGTAAAATTCAACCAACATGGGGTGTAAAAATGTATTTTCAAAGCAGTGTTCCCCAAAGAAGTAATTGGATTCTTCCTGATATGGTGTTCAAGTTTCCCCGATGAGGGTCCAGGGGGAAGATTTATCAAACTAGAAATCAGCTTAAATTCGTCTTAAGTCCATTTTTTTTGCTTAAGTCAAATTTATCCATTATTGCTTAGCTTAAAAATTTGCTTAAAATTAGAAAGTCGATTGTACGTTGGTGCCATCTAAGACGATTTTTAAGCCAAGATTTTGCTAAGATTGGGTAATAAATCAGCTTAAGATATTTATTAGGGACATCTTAACTTTTTTGACTTAAGACATTTGCTAAGCTGAGATTGATAAATCCTGGGCCTGTTGCCTTTAGTCCTAGTGTCACTAACATGTTTACAATTTATCTTGGCCTCCAATATCATTAAATACAAAAGTTTAGCAATAATTTTCTTGATTAAACTACACTTTTTCCCCAGTTTTAAAATATTCAAAAAGCTGTACCTCATTAACTGTTCCCAATTTTTTTGTCAAACACATCAAAAAATGTGTTGCCTCCAGAGCCTGGCTTTAGATCTTTATATTTTAACTAGCAAACTATTTGTGTAATTAATTTGCCATAGTATTGAAAAATTGGGAATTCTAGTAAACCCAACTGGTTCATTTTTACACCCCCTCCCCCTTTGGCAGTGGTTGTGCAGGATTACGAAATTATGAAGGTGAAATGGGGGTGCTCGATGATTAGATGAGGGGTGCTAGCTTGCAAAATAACGTGATTTGTGATGGTTTTTAACTACTTGAGCGTGATTTTTTTAGGGAGACTGGGGGTACAAGTTTTTTTTTTTGGAGGGGGGTTGCGCATCCCCTAGGTGCCCCACTGGGTGACTACTACAGTAATGTGCTACAACCTGGTCTGGCTTGGTATATGCACTTTACCACTGTCCTTCATTTTTCATCCACCTGTCCTGAATGAGGGCACTGACCTTTCAACCTTGATGTTTTAAATCTGTTTATGAACTTGGTACATTTAATTCTGTTACACAAAGCCTGATATAGGCCCTATTATACATTGTGGCAATCTTTCTTTTGTTGTTCTTTTCCAGGGTTCTCAGTCTCAAGGGTATAGGAAAACAATTACTGTACCACTACCTTAAGCATATCATTTGTGGTATGACATATTTTGCTCTGAAGGATTGTGTAATTAAAATTACTGTATAAAGGAAAGGTAACAGTAGGTAAATAAAATTTACATATAACACATAAACAAACATAAATTATTTGTTAATAAATTAAATATATAAATTAATGTTGCATGATTTGGGCTGTGAAGTGGTTCAAGTTTTTCAGCCCTAGGCACAAGCATTTCATGGCAAATAAATATACAGTAATATTAATGGTAACCCTTAGCTAGAAGTGGCTTTCGGGCCTTGTTTTGGGTGATTTCAGTGTCAGTAAATATATAAAAATGACAGATTCCTACTTGTTAATTTTATATGCGATATTCTGTATCTGTAGTGTGTGTGTATATATATATATCTGTCTCTTATGTATATAATTATAAACCAAAAATGAGAGGTTCAGCAGTAGGTTTGATTAAACATTTTATTACTATTTAGTTTCATGCTCACATGGTGCAACACTCTTCAGATAAAATTGAATTTGTGTGGCAGCGAAAAGATAATTGATTAGTCTGCTCACGGAAAGAATTTTGTTTTTCACAACAAACTAATTTTCCATACAAAAGGAACAATTACGTAATTTTCAATTATAATTGATGTTTTGGGAGATTTAGACGGCTGTATTGTCTGTCGGTAAAATTTGGGTATTGAATTCATCCAAAGGCTTTGGAAGCCCCAAGAAATTAGGCTCTATTTGAATACATAGGATTACCATCCATATTGCGAAGGATTTTAAAATTTAGATTGAAAATAAATAAAAGCAAAGCAACTAGTATTGAATACATCCTTGGTAAAAGTGAGTCGTGTATTTGTGTGGTATGAAGCACTCCGAGCTTAAAAACATGAATAGTATTGATAGAATTTACAGCCATGATGTTTCTCATCTCAAGTTGTTGATTGTTGATAAACCATATTTCTGGTTTACACCAAGGACAAATCAGAACGGCACAAGTCACTAAAACCACATCTTTAGTGTAGCATATATTACTATAGGTTTACGTTACATTGCATGTTTCTTGGAAACCAGGACTTGGGAGATATTCCTGTAACAATTACGTTTTGTTCAACGTGTTAATAGGGCGCCAGTCCTTATCAAACCCATGCTGAGAACATTGGGGACCTATCAGGATGTTTTTTTGTTTTGTTTTGTTTTTTTCATTTTTTTAATGAAATAAACTTCATCGTGTCATCATCCTATCCTATCATTTCTATAAAACGTTTTAACAACAGGAATTACGAAACACCTTTCCCCCGTTGGTCGCTATCACGTCACAAAACTGTCACCCAAAAAAGTGGGGGGGGGGGGGGGGTTTGGGGGGGGAGATATAATTTATCAACTTTTGGAAATACCGTTAGTCACAGATAAAACAAAAATATTTTTGTTTCTAAACATTTTAGGCCTACTAAGAGAATGCTTAAACTTGCTGGCAATAACTTACAGATGTGAAAAGACTTGATACCAAAAAGATCCACGGATCAATCGTAAATAGAATATGCGTATTGTAAGTTTGTAACGCCGAAAAATTGTTAGGCTATAATTCCACTCGTTCAGAATATTGTTAATAAAGAACGAAGAATCAATTTATGGCTACATAATGGTCATTTTTGGTGTTCCAAAATTCAAAGACTACCAGGGACGTATCCGGGTGGGGGGGCTCTTCCCCCCCCCCTTTGTACACAGTGTTAAAATTTTGAAGCTTGTTCTTGAGCCAATACAAATTCTTTCTTGGGATCACTCAAAATGAATACTTCTAAAACATGTAAATATGCATCAGTACACGTTATACATAGGCCTAATAGAACACATGCCTAAGCGTGATTTAAAAAAATCTTAAATCCATAAATCTCAGGCCAGGTCTTTTAAGATATAGAAATGCGATACTGTATGGTTCAGTTTCGTTTTTATACTTTTGCAAGTATTGTTTAATAATACTAATAGTAAAAATAATAATAATAATGATGATAATGATGACGATAGTAATAATTGATAATAATATTAATAGCAATAAAAAGTGAAGAAAATTGTGCTAAATGCGAAAAAAAGTTGTGATTTGTTGATCATAATTATTATAGTATAGTTAAAGCTTAGTAAGATATTTAGGCCTAAGTTGTCCTGGATATTAAGTTGATCAGCGTTCCGCAAACTTTTTACTTCACGGCCTATTTATGATTCCAGGCCCCAAGCCGCGGCCCAGCAGCCAGCAGCCCAGCCGCGCCAGGGTCCAACATACCAAATCCTGGCAAGAACTTTTGATCATGAAGCCTCCATGTATATACAATATTTTGACATCATTATCTGTTCTCTAAGTGATAAGATTTTATTGTATACAAATTAAATATTTTTTTATTAAATAATACCGTACATTTGTGTTTCCCCACCCCCACCCTCCGACAATTGTTGATTGTTATTTCTTTCTAAAATGATTCAACCAGACACGGTTCAGCCACACACGTCATAGCAGGGCCGTAGCCACGAGAAGTGAAATGGTCAGGTTGCAAGTGAAGCGCGAGCACTGATGATTGGGGCTAGGGGACCGCGAAGGGCCCCAGGTCGGGGTTCAGGATTCCGGGGCCAATAAACTGTAATATTATTGTAAACCATTAAACTGTAATATTATTAACATTAAGCCATTAAACTGTAATATTATTAACACATAACATAAAACATGTACATATCAAAATTATTATGTTTAATCTTTCCTTGTCGATGCTTACATAAAACGTAATTTGGATCTAACATGATAAGTAAGTAAGTAACTTTATTGCTTCTCTTTTATAACAGAGGCACAACCGTAAAGATGTGCAACAATAACAAAATCAGTAAAAACTTAATTACTGTGATAAAATATAGTAAGAAAATACTGCGGTAGAACGAAAAATATATTTTTAAAAAAAGGGTTTACAAAAATAGTAATAGAGATAAAAATAAATACTAATACTAATAATATGATGATATTGATAAACAATCGAAATTCTCTGTACAATATTATGCTAAACATTTACATAATGGACTTCCTTATGTTGCGGTCATATTAGACTGTAATATTATTATTAAAGAAGTCCATTCAACAAACAACATAAAACATTACATATCAAATTTATTGGGTTAAAGTTCTCATGTCAGTGCATGCATAAACCGATTTCCTAATATTTGGATATCTGAGATTGACAGACAAAATTCTCTGTATATACTACAGTATATACTAAAAATAATATTAAAAACCATTCAACATAAAACATATCAAAATTATTAAATTAAACTTTCTACTTCGGTGCATGAATATAACGTAATTTGGGGATATATGAGATTTACATAACATTTGAGAATGTGCTGAATATAAAATCTTAAATATTTTACATTTTAATCAGCAATCTATCAGAAATACAGGGATTGGCTATACTGTAAAGCCTTCAGAACCCCTGCAATACTAAAACTGGGATGCAACAGGCAGTGAATATTTCATTTTGATTTAGTGTAGATGTTTTTTACATATTTTAAATTTTATTTTAATTCTTTTTATTTTGTATGGTCCATATGTTATATTTTCCATAGACAGATAAATGAATACCTGAACTGATATTTTATGGGTTTCAGATTACTATATACAAAACAGATATCATAAATCATCTTGTCTGTGTGCATTGAACGTTTGATGACGACGATAATGTCTCCAAATTCCCAACCGCAATGCACGAAGTGTATTTCAAAGAATCTAGAAAACAAAAACTTTTCGAATATCTAAA